TTTTGTCCCGTTCCGCTCACTCAGCTCTTTGCTGGTCTCTCCTGGAAGTGCCCTCGGACGCGCCCAGAAGTGATTGCCTTATCAGCCATCTGGGAGCGCCCTGACCCCGGCAAGCTGACCACAGACTTAACCATCACAGGGGTCAAAAAGAAAGACCCAGAAAGTGGGCGGGCTCAGCTCTCCTGAGACTTAGTCTTCGCAGCCCTTGCACAGTGGCCGCGTTCCTGCCGCAGCCGCTGCCTCACCTCCCTGGGAGCCCGGGCGCGGTCCCCGTCGTCAGAGCTGCGGGGCCAGGCTTGTCCGGCCCCTTCCCTGGACGGGGCTGGCCAGGGTTCCCTCTACCTGCGCGTCCAGCCGGGTTGGGCCCCGGGAAGCAGAAGTCGTCTACCCCAGTCAGAGGACGACGGCCCCCCCCCAGCCGGCAGAAGGAGTCGCAGGGAGACCTGACCTTGACGTGTGCCTCTCTGATGTGCACAGCTCGCGGGGGGGGGGGGGGTGCCGGTCGTGGGAGTGCTGCCCTGTGTGCCCCTTTCTCCCGAGGCCCCCGCCCCGGCTGGCCGGCTGCTGCCTGAGCCACGGCCTTGCCAGGGGCCCCTTGGCTGGGCACTGGCCCTGACCTTGCTCTGCGGTGATGTCACAGCACAGCTGTGCTGTTCCCATGGCCGCACTGGCCACAGTGCACCAGCAGGAGCAGGCGGCTGAGCTGCAGGTGGAGGTGGGAGCTGCAGCTCCAGCGGCCGTGGTCAGTGGGCCCCGGAGACCCCGCAGGGACGCCTCGAGGCCGAGGTTACTGTTGCGTCTTTGGGAGGGAGGAGGCAGCTGAGGGCCTCTGGGCTGAGCTGGGAGGAAGCCCCGGCACCACGGGCCCTCCCCGGGCGTTTGTTCTGGAGGGGGAAGGGGCTGTTTGGAGAACTGGGGCGGGGGGGGGGGTGGAGGGGGTGTTCTGGCAGGGCAGGAGCAGCTGCTGGAACCGGGACCCCGGCCTGGGCAGGGCACGTGGGGGCAGAAGTTGCCGTTGTCTGTTTAGTAAGCCAGCAGCTGTGTCCGCGGCCCCTCAGCTGTAAGTCTGCAGGCCGGGCTGCCTCGGTGTGGGTGTGTGGAGGAGGAACTGGGTGCAGTGAGCTGAGCTGGCTCCCCAGGGGCTGAGTGCCCAGCCGCCTGGAGCGGCCCGTTGCTGGCCGCGCACCAGGGAGACGGCGAGAGACGCGCACGGGTGAAGCGGCCTCCCGGGGCTGACGGGGCTCCTGGTCTCCCACAGCCCCCAGCTCACGGGGGTCCCAGGTGTGGTGTTGGAGATGCGGGGTCGCCGTGTTTCTGACGACCGTTTTGTCTGGGCCTGGCTCGGGTGCCTCCAGGGATGGGCGTTCCGCTGCCTGCCCAATGAGTTCAAGACAGCGCCGTAGAGGGTGCCTCCCTGCACGTGATGTGTGCCCAGCGGCGTAGCGCGGTCGTCTGCAGACACGCACAGTGAGTAACCACCCTGCTCCCCAGCAGCTACGGACCCACCTTACAGACGAGCAAACTGAGGCAGCCTGGGTCAGGCAGCTGGCCGAGGCCACGCCGTGGCCGGTTCCACGCCAGCCTGCTCTAGGCGGCTCTGTCCCCTGCCCTGCCTGCCCCTGGCGCCTGTGGACTCCTCCCGTTTCTTTCATCTCCTCCTGAGCCCCGAGCCGGCAGCCGCCTCCCCCGGCCCATGGTGACCCCGCTGCCCCTCTCCGAGCGCTGCCGGCGCCGCCGCTCGTCTCTCCCGCTGCTCGGCCAGCTTGCTGAGCCCTCCTCGGGTCAGCCCTTCTGTCGTGAGCTTGCCACTTTACGCCGTGGCCCTGGCTGTGCCTGGGGCACCAAGTCCTTGAGGACACCGTGTGCCTGGGACCTGCCGAGCTCGAGTGCCGGGTCTCAGAGCCGGGTGCTGGGCGTCCTGGTGAGGTCTGGCAGGCGTGGGGCTGGGCTCGCCGCAGGTGTGTGCACACAGGTGCGGATCGGCTTGGCTGTCTGGGTGACCACGTGTCTGCCCACGCTTGCCCCTCGCCCCTCGTCGCTGCCTTCTCTGGCTGTGTGCTTGCGTGGCTGGATGTGGGGACCCCGTGTGAGTGGGGGGCCAGTTGCCGTTCTTGCCGTCCGTCGCAGGGTTGGCCGCGTGTGGGAGCTGCCCTGGCTCTCGGGAGGTGTGAGCTCCGTCCCCCCCGGGGGCCGTGTGTGTCCTGGGTGGGTGGGGAGGGTCTGGAGCTACCTCTGACCTGGTTTGCTGTTACTTGGACACAAGTGTAAGGTGCTTGCTCGCGTGGGTGACCGTCACGGTGGTTTTGGGGGCTAAGCTGCCATCGGACCGGTGGATGGAAACTTTTCCAGAGGGGAGGAGGGCCTGGGGAGCTACCGTCGGCTTCCAAACCCACATCACGTGTAGCTTAGGGGCGTACTGTGTGCACCCTGGAAGCCTGGAGGGATGTCCTCTCTCATCACCCCACAGACACAGCCCAGAGCTCTCAAACGGGCGCCTCCGTGTGCTCCCCAGGGCAGAAATGCCGGTTGGATTCACTCAGGGACTCGGGACGTCCTTGCTGTGGCCAGTTTTGTGTGGCCTGGGCGGTGGCCCTGTGGGAGGTTGGGAGGCGTCCTCCGGGGAGTGGGTGGAGCCTGGGCTGGGGAAGGTGGGGAGGCGGCTAAGTCTCGGTGCAAGGTAAGGATGCCAGACCCGGCTGCGGGGTGCTTGGCGCCGCCGGGCCCTGCCCTGTACCCAGCTCTCTGGGATGGGACAGACGGGCCGGGGAGCCGGGTGGGAGCCTCTGGGGAACTGAGTGAAGCCCAGGCCGCTCCCCGCAGAGGCTGGGGCAGGCTGTCCGGGGCAGGCCTGGGCACCAGAGCTTTGACCGCAGGGCCGCGGGGGCTGTGACCCCCTCTGCATTCCTGCTGGTCCGACACTGGGGACCCAGTGGCGGGAGGCGTGGGGGTGCCACAGGGGCTTCAGGGGCTCGGGAGAGAGATGGTCAGGGCTCGGCTATGGAGCGGGGAGGAGGAGGGGCAGAGTAAGGCAAGGCGGGTGCAGCCCCGTTGACCAGGGCCTCGGTGCCCAGTGTGTGGTCCGTGGCCAGCAGCGGTGGGGCCGTAGGAGCTCCCTGGCCCTGCAGACTCAGGCTAGGCCCCGACCTTGGCCTTAACCCGCGTGTCCCAGCGTCGGAAATGGGGACGGGGGTGTAGGTGTCGCCCTCCAGGTGAGGCCGTGTGTGATGGGGAGGCGTGGGGTGAAGTCACCAGGTGAGCTGTCAGCCAGGGGTGGGTGTGCCCAGTGCCTCGTCCACACAGCCAGCTCCCTTCAACCCTGCTTCCTCCTGTGTGTGAAACAGCTGCACATGGTCCCCAGGGCTCGGAGCTGCTGTGGCGGCTTCCAGCCCCGGGTGGCGGAAGGGAGGGGCTGACTCGGGAGGGAGGAGGCCGCCCGCGTCCTGCGGTCATCCTGGGAGAGGACCGGGCCGGTGTCGGCTGTGTGGGTTGTTCGGGGAGAACCGTGTACCAGGGTCAGCCCTGCACACTTGGCTGTGTGCAGCTGGTAGCAGTTCGGTGACAGCGACCCCCCCCCCCCCCCGCTGCCCCGTTGGAGGGCTGAGCCGCTGTGTGACCACCTGCCTCTCAGGAGCAGGGTCCTGGGTGGGCCTGTGCCGTGTTTATACCGCAGTACCCCCCAGTGGACCTGAGTGGACGGCCTCGTGCTGCTGGCACTGAGACAGAGTCGCACGCCGGCCCCTCCGCTGGGAGCCCCTCGGGGCCGCTGCACAGCCTGGAACCCTGACACTTGTTGTCCCCGGGCTGCCCACAGGCTGTGGGGAGCAAGGAGGCCAGCGAACCGGCTGCAGACCCTGGTGCTTCCCTGGCCCGTGACAAGGGTCCCTCTCGTGCAGGGGTCTGAACAGCTGCCTGGGTGTGGCCGCTGCGGCTGGCTCCGTGCACAGGGCCGCAGGGCCAAATAGCGCACGAGAGAACGGGCCCAGTGTCCACGCTGTGCCCTGGGAGGCTCGGGTGCTGCCCACAAGGACATGAGGGACTCGGGCGCTGGGACGCTTCTGTGCAGCAAGCAGGGAGGGTGGGGGCTCTGCAGAGGGCACTGGCGCGAGGACCCCAGCCCGAGCAACCCAGCCCGAGCACCCCAGCCCGAGCACGGGTCCTGCCTGGGACCCTGGCAGCCTGTCTGAGGGACTGGAGAGACGGGGATGCCGGGAGAGCAGGCAGGTCCCCGCAGGGGAGGCCACCAGCTCGGCGGGCGAGCAGGCGCTGTCCCTGGGCACCGTGGGCGTGGCCAGCGCTTCAGCAGCCATGAGACCCCGCCTCTGGTCTCCCGTTGGCTGGGGCTGTGGTGGTGGCCACGGGTGTGACGGCCGTGTCAGCTGACTGCACTTTGCTGAACTTTGTCCTCAAGATCTCTGTCCAGAGTTGTCCGTCTCTGTGTGTGTGTGTGTCTCCAGAAAACTCCACGGCACAGTTCTGCGGTGGACGCGGCACAGGGTGCAGCGGGGTCGGGGCGGAGCCAAGAGGGCACGGGCGGCGCAGGCTCCTACAGGTTTTGCTGTGTCCAGGGAGGGTGTGAGGTGTGGGCCAGTGGCTCAGGCAGAGCAGTCGGACTTCACACACGTTCTCGCCAGGCATCTTCCAAGACGGACCCCTCCCCACCTGTCTGGACGCCCCCGTGGCCGTTACGGTGGTGGGAAACGCTCGGGCTTTGGCATCTGAGACCCCGACTCAAACCCAGCTCCTTCAACCCCTGCTTCCGTCTTTGCGTGGACACTGGCTTCCAGTTCCCGTGCGAGTAGACACGGGGTCGGAGTTCCTGGTCGTCCGGTGAGCCCAGCCTTACCTCGGCTGCTTTCCACGGCGGCTGCACCTGCCGGCAGCCCCGCGGGCACTGTTCAGAAGGCTCCGGCTTCTCCGCCTGCTGCCAGCTCTTGAGTCATGGCCGTCCTCGGGGGTGTCAGTGTGTCCGTTCCCTCCCATCCACCTTTCCCTAGCCACGGCTGAGGCTGGACGTCTGTCTGTGCGCCCTGGTGGCCGTGTGAGCCCCGGACGCGTTTTAGTTAGCCGATCCGCCCTCTTGCCGTCTGGTTGGTTTGTCTGGATTTAAGTCTTACTCCTCCCTTCCAGTCGGCGTCTTGAGAGGGGTGTCCTGGCGGAGGGTTTAGCTTTGGTGACGCCCATTTGCCGATTCCCTGTTTACTGCCTGTGTGTCTGGCACTGAGAAGTCCTCGCCACGCCCGAGGTCGTGAACCCGTGTGCACCTGGGCGTCACTCGAAGCATGAAGGATTTTCCACGTTCCATCGAGGGCCGTGGGTCCCTGTGAGTTAGCTTTTGCGTGTGCTGTGAGGCCAGGGTCTGGATTCCTCTCTGCGGCACCTTGGTCGACAGTCTCGGTACCCAGCTTTCTCCCTGAGCCCTGCACCTGTCCCCGGCCCGGCCCGCCACAGCGGAAGGCAGGCGACCGTCACGCCAGCCACTGTTCTGAGTGTGCGATCCTGTCCGTGGCCTGGTTTGTCTGCCCCTGGCTGGCTGTGACCCAGGTCAGGTGTCTCCATGTCTGCCTGCCTCAGTTTCCCCGTCTGTGAACCAGGGGTGGTAACAGCTCCTCACCTTTGCAGGGTGTGAAAACGACGAGTGGGCGGAAGTGCTGGGGGCGGGCGGTGGCAGCCACACGGCTCCTGTGGCTGTGATGCGGACACTGGCGGTGTCTGACTGCCCTGGCTGCGTTCCACTCCGGCTGCTGGGGCTCCTGTCATGAAGGGGCCGGGCAGGGCGGGGCACGGCTGCCCCGGAAGCGGCTCCTTTAGCTGACAAGTCGGGCCGTCTCTGGCATGAGCTGCAAGCCGGTGAACTTTGGGTGTGGAGCCACTGCGCCCCGGGAAGGCCTGACGGCCCGGGCCTTCCTGCTGCCGGGGCCCAGGCGAGGCGGCCTCTGCTAACTCATGAGGCGCCCACTGGGGTTCAGAGAGAGGCGATCAGCAGTCGTGCACGCACGCACAGATGTGGATACACGTGCACGCACTCACGGACGCACACACGGATACTCGCTCACACACCCTGCACACACAGACACACCCTGCACACACACACACCCTGCACACACGGACACTCCCTACACACAGACACACCCTGCACACACACACACCCTGCACACACAGACACTCCCACACGGACGCTCGCTCACACGGATGCTTGCACACACGGACGCTCGCACACACACCCCGCACACACACACACCCTGCACACACACACACACCCTGCACACACAGACGCTCGCACACACGGATGCTCCCACACACGGACGCTCGCACACACACCCTGCACACACACACACCCTGCACACACACACACCCTGCACACACAGACACTTGTCACACACACATACCCGGGACACACAGACGCTCCCCCACACAGACACTCCCACACGGACGCTCGCACACACGGACGCTCGCACACACAGACACTC